CATATGATTAGCTCAATTTGTGGCATATACACTGCCATGAGCAACGATGACGCAACACAGAGCAACAAGCTGACTGTGAACTGTGAATTTGCCATGGCAAAATTAACCTCTACACTTTAAATTGTTGCTAAGAAAAGATAGGTCCTATGTTTGTGTATTAAAAAAATTAAAAAATAAATAAATTTCAGTATATTCTTCAGTCACAAATAAAAATATTTTAGTTATGGCACTGTACAAAAGCATGTCATCCACCATATACAACCCAGGCCATTAAACAAAGCTTAAAATTACCGTGGATCCACTGCGTTAAAGAAAAACATCCAAACAGTCCACATCTGGCTTACACCACATTACATAATTGGTACAGTGATCTATGAGATACAAATTCATCTCTCCATTTTAAGGACAGTTACAATAACAATGTAAATCTTACATAAGAATAGAGCTAGGGGCTGTGCTGCTTCTGTGGTCTGCTGTTTCTGGCAAGCCACACTGTTAAAGCTCATGGCTAAACCATTTCCCATTCAAGCCTCAAACCACACACACACATCAAACTATACCACTGAATGGCAAACTATCTATCAAAATTGATTCAGTAAAGTTATCAAAGGTAATTATCATGACTAAGGGTGTAGTAGACCAGGATTATTGTTAGCTAAAACCAAAACATCATAAAAAAAAAAACATTTTCATTACCTCAGATTAAATTAAATATTAACTGAAATAAAATATATATAAAAAAACGTATTTTATTTCAGCTAGTTGCTGAGGCAACATTTCTCAATTTTGTTTAGTTTAAGGGATAGTTCACCCAAAAATTAAAATTAGCCCATGATTTACTCACCCTCCTCAAGCCATCCTAGGTGTATATGACTTTCTTCTTTCAGACGAATACAATCAGTTATATTAAAAAATGTCCTGGCTCTTCCCAGCTTTATAATGGCAGTGAATGGCTGTTTCTGTTTTGAAGTCCATAAAAGTGCATCTATCCATCATAAAAGTTCTCCACACGGCTCCGGGGGGTTAATAAAGGCCTTCTGAAGCGGAGCGATGAGTTTGTATAAGAAAAATATCCATATTTAAAACTTTATAAAGTAAAATAACTAGCTTCCGGCCAAACTAACATACGGATTCCACTTAAAGCTGCTGTAGGTAACTTTTGAAAAAATGTATTTGCTAAAACTGTCATTATGTCCTGACAGTAGAATATGAGACAGATAATCTGTGTAAAAATCAAGCTCCTCTGGCTCCTCCCAGTGGTCCTATTGCCATTTGCAAGAAATACACGCTCCCGGTCAGAAACAACCAATCAGGAGGAATGTCTTAGCAGTGTCAATCACGCTCGTGTACGCGCTTATCACACCCCTCTCTTGCACAGCGCGAGCCGTCGTTCAAACTCAAGATTGCCGGCGTGCTGCAGCTGTGTTTATGACGGAGAAACAACCTAAACTGCCAATTCTCGAGTGACACCTGCTCATAAAACAAAGAGGTAAAAGGAAAAAGACTGATGACGATAAACAAGCGAAAAAGAAAGAATTACACAGAGCCCATTGACTCGGTCGAAACTCTAGCCGCATAACATGTAGATAAAATGTCACGCACTCTGCTAAGCAACAATTGAAACCTGCTAATTCACTGGCTTGTCATGTTGCTGAAATAATGTACTAGCACACCTTATCTAGCATTATATATCGCTAGAATAATTACTTGCATACTGTAATGTTAGTTAACGTTATATTAACGTTATCTTACTAGCTATTTATAACTTATAGAAAGAGTGCAACGTTATAAAGTTACATGTAGGCTATTGCAAAATACATAATGATTTGAGGACCAAGTTTGTAGTCAAAGTATGGGCAGGCCATAGTCAATGTAAAGCATATTGTTGACGTTTATTCCCGATTAGTGAATGTGCAATATAACTTTTTATCCGCTGTTATCGGTGGCCCTGTTTACTAGCCTGCGCGTTCACGACAGGCTCCGCTGTGGAGGACGAGCTGTGGAGGGAGGGCTGTAGCGCAGCAGAGAGCAAGGGGTTGGGACCTGTAAGTTGTGTTTGTTCAAATTTTCAGGCTAAGTCTTTTTGATACTCTCACATCATTTTTGTCCACATAACCAAATTATCAAGTACATAAAGACATTGCTTATACTTGATAATGGAGAACAAACCTCATTGGTTTTTGCGCGTCAAGCAAGCATGTTTGAGCTTCGATACTTTACCCTATTTGATGAGTTCTATGTATGTCGGTTGATCAATGTTTATGACAATAAAAGCATAAAATAAATCTGATTGTGTCTCTTCAGAAGACTTAAATTATAAAAGACTGATATGAATTACTTTTACAATGTCTTTATGAAGCTAACTTTTGGAAGTTTGGAAATTTTGGTAGCGTGTGCAATGTGCATACTTTCAATGGATGGACAAAATGAAGAGAAAATATTAAAAATATCTTAATTTGCAAATGAACAAACGTCTTATGGGTTTGAAACGACATGAGGGTGAGACTGATAGCCACCATTCAAAAATAGAAAACAAAAAAAACTGCCATCAAATAGGCCTAGCTGGCATTGCTAAATCTCAACATTTAATTTCAGGGATTAAATTGGAGCTTAAAGTGGATTATATTTGACATGACTACGAGTGTAACAATGTCAGGAACACTGTTCAACACAACACTGTTAAAAACATGATTTCTGATTTTTACATCAAAAATCAATTGATCAAACATCAATTGGCCACAAAGTGTGACTAATAACTAAACAAGTTCTTGTTTCATATCTGTTGTGATAAGCATTGTTCTAGTAAGGAAATTACTCTTGGTGTTCCTTAAGGAAGGTGTGCCCTCAAGCACTAGTTCCTCATTCAACCCATTAGCACATTAGCTTCTCCTTCACAGTGTCTCTCAAGTGGCTTTAATGTCAAGGATCTAAATCTGATTCTGCTGAGAAAGCATACTATGAGCCATGACTAAATACTCTGGAAAATATCAAACTCCAATTAAAAAGCAAACCCAGATGTTTGATCCTTTTCATGTGTCCTGCTGGAAACATGAGCAATGACTTCCATGTGTTCATCAAAGGAAAGTAACAAGGTGGGCAGGAACAGGATAAATGTTTAGTTTACTTCAGCCCAGCGCTTGTGCTCAACTTCCTCTAAGAGGGTTAATGGCAAACTTTCAGATTACTTATTTACAAATGGTCCATTAATACTACCTGTAGGGAATCAATAAAACGTTTATAAAAATTTTTGTCAATCAATCCTAGCTGTTTGTAGAATAAATATACAATTTACATTCAGTTGCCACAGCGCACATCCCAAAGTCAAGTGAGGTCAAAAGACATAGTGTAAACCTTTACCAAGGGGTCCATTGTGGTACTACTGGGGGTCTGCCAATTATTATATCACAAACTATTGAAAAAAAAATGTAATATAAATGAAACAAAAATAATACCCAAGCAGCCAAAGTAAAAGCTAAACTACAGCTAAATCAGTGCTGTTTTCGTATTATTTATATAATCATAATATAGTGCCTTTAAAGCAGCTTCTCAAGGCCCTTTACACAATAAAAATTACAAAGAGAGAAAAAATTAATTAAAAAAAATCATATACATTTAGGCTATATAAAATACACAGATAGAAATATAAAGCTTACAAAAAAAAAAAACACATTGGGAAAAAGCAGTTAGTTACCTAAAAAGTGAGTTTTTAGGTTGGATTTAAAAATGCTTAGATTTTGTGCATCTTTAATATATACTATTAATTCATATATATATTTATATATTTTCATTTTAGTTTAATTTGTAGTAATAGGTAAAAAAATAAGTGAAAGAAATGCTAGACACCACATAAGGATTAACAACATTTGTATGTTAAAACGATTTTTTTTTTAGCTGGTGAAATCATTTAAAATCAAAAACACTTCACAAGAGCATAAATCTCGCATACAATCAGCAACGCTACCACAGAAATTAGATTTCAGACATTCATCATTTTGCGATGACATGAAGCGGAGAATGTTAGGAGTCTTGTCCACACAGAGCTTCCCGTATAAAGTTACACCTGGTGTGTATGACTCACGAGTTGTCTGAAGCCTGCAGATCTATTAGGTTGTTTACGCTCATTCAAGTTTCAGTTTCATCAAGACATACAAACATTATGCAAAAACTTGCAATGGTTTTAACCTTTCTGACATGCAGATGATGATTAGATCATCAACAGACCCTTCCTCCTGGGCCTGCAGTATCTGACACTGAAGTGCTCAACATGTAAACCTCACTGTCTTACCTTAAACATCAAGTATTGATCTACACACATCACAGCTCAATGTTTACAGACAATACTGGAAGTTAGCATACTACTAGCCTACTGCAAGTATACAATATTTCGCGATATACAAGTAATTTAAAGCTCAGCCAAGAATATTTAAACTATATCGCGTTAATGTTTTTGTTTTAGCGTGTATATCACGAAATTACAGTCATGTGTCAATGGCTCAATCCTCGCATCATCACACAGGCTATCACGAAAACTCCAGCGCTACACATTACATTTACTGTCAAACGATGTGGCTTCTTACCCTGTTCCCTACAGCTGCGTCTAGCTTGCTTGTCGTAGCCCCTTGATTTAATGCTCCATAACTGTCCTTGATGTGGTCACCCATGTATCCAGGGATTGATTCTGGTTTTCTTTGGGACTGAAGTTTTTTTTTTTTTTTTTTTGAGGAAGTAAGATGGCCGCTGCTGGTATGTTTAGTCTGAACTCAGTGACGCAAACAGAGATGTGAGAGCCAGTCACCATCAGAGGGCGCTATTGCTATATGTTTATGAATTTATTATAATACGTTCATTTACATAATATTAGTTAAAGGTACAGTTAACCCCAAAATTATTAAACTATTTCTACAGGAAAAGTCGATATGAAAGTAGTCAAAGGTGTCATGTAGTTTTGGAACATCAAAGGCGAGTAAATGGCAGAATTGGACTATACTTGAATTACATGTTGACTACACAGAAATAATTGCAGAAATACTTTATTTAAAAATTGTAACATTTTATATGAGTGGAAATATGTGGAAATTTTCCTCCAGTCAATGCCAAAATAAAGCAAATAACTGTAATTAAATGTCTAGTTATCTACAATATACAGTATGACTACATACTACATCACAAGTAATTACAAAACTACAATTGAAAAGTTTGAATCTAACATACAAGTTATTTAAATATTCAGAAATACAATAATTCATTTATTGCTTAAACAACATTTTCAAAATAAATATAAATATAAAAACCCTTTGACAAGACACAATTACCAAACCTGAGAATACAGCGCAAAATACTTTTCTTTTCTTTCTTTTTTTTACGATCTCTACTTGCTCTTCTGAACAGGCACCACATTCATGGAATTGTGCAGAAATTCATAAAGCTGCCTGGCATTACTGCTACTACCCAATATCTCACTGAGCCTTTCCTGGCTAAATGTTATAAGATCAGCCAGGCAGGAAGCGTGCTTTATAAGGCTCTTGAAATTTTTTACATTGACTCCAGGCATACGAAGCAAGAAGTCGTAAGGTCCGGGATTGTACAGGTCTGCTGACTCCGTCACGGTCTCCGACTCCGCCGTAATGGCCTGAGCTGCAGCGGCGTCAGGCTCTGCGCGGCCGTTTTTGAGCTCCTGAAACAGCTCTGCTGTCACATAGGGAGACGGGCACCAGAGCAGCCTCAAGCGAGGGAAATGGAGGGTGAGGAGGGTCAGTTTGGAGGTGACGTCGCTGGCAGAGATCTCCTGACGAAAGTCACTGCGGGCCACAAGGGAGAAAGGCTTTGCGGGGTCAAACTCGATAAGCAGCACAGGGCGACGATAGAATCGAGACATTGAGAGGCATTGTGTGTAGAGACGCCCACTCTGCAGGGAACCAATGAGGTCACTGACACTTTTGCGCTCTACGCAGATCTCAGAAGTCAATATGTAGTCGCCGACCTCTAAGGTGACCGGTTCAATGTCGAGACCACGTCGATGCAGAAGGGAAGGGAGCTCACTGCGGAACTCTCTCATGTCAACTATGATTCGATGAGGCTCTTTAATCTCTTCACGACCCCCTAATTAAAGAAAAAAAATGTTTGCAAAAGGTATTCAACTTCAAGCATGCACAATTGTTATTCTAGCAGGAACCAATAATCTGATAATAACAGTAATGTTATGGCCCATAACCGATAAATGGTTGAGATTACAATTCTATTACAATTCTCTTCTAGACTATTTTGTCTAAATTAAAGGGGTCATGAATGGCATTTTTAAAAAATTATTTTATAATGTTTCCTGAGGTGCACTTATAATGTTAGTATGATTTTTACATAAAAAATGGTCATAATTTAGAAATAAAAGGCAATTTTCAACCCTGATTTTAACGTTCTGTTGAAAGGGGCGTGTCTGCTGTGAGATGTAAACGCCCACTGCTGTGATTGGCTAACATCTTTGCATATGAAATAAGAATTACATGTGGAACTATCTCGAAAACTTTTAGCACGTTTTTACTATTACAGCTGTCAGGATTAACTAATCTTGAAAAGTGTTGTTGGATTTTGGCCCTATCACGAATGCTTTCATCATAATTAACAGTGCAAACTTAATGCAAATAAGACTCATTGTGCCGTGTAGACGGTGGCATTGATTATAACGGGAGTTTTGGCGAGAGTCCAGAATTCAGTCACTAATAAACTCGTGCTGTGTGATTGACAGCTCCAGCGATTATAAAGTCGGTTTTTCAATGCACTATTACGTTATAATGTGACAAAATCCGAAACGAGTTGGTTTTGGAGCTTGGTTTCAATAAAAGCGTTTTTTGGACTAACAAGGAAGTTTTGGGTTCTGAAACTTACAGGATGTTTTTATAGTACAATGACTCTTGCATGTCAAAAGATCCAGGAAAAAATTCATGACCCCTTTCAATTCTAAATAAAATTAAAAAGATTCTACAAATGAACTTAGGCATCACAACATTATGTATAGTGTAATGTATTGTGTGAATATTTCAGGTTGAATGGTGGAGGTTTACCTGCTTTGCGGGTGTTGGTGGCGGCACTGGCGGGTTCCTGACTGCGGACAAGATCTAGATTGGTGTCCTCTCTACCTTCTCTCTCTTCTGGCACAACCATACTGGCTTTTTCCCTATTTTAAAGAGAAAAAAACAGATTTTAAAATGAGTGGTGTCACAAAAAATACGAATGGCATTGAACTCTCAATTTCTCAGAAAACAGGATATATTCAGCTAACCTTATGAGGTGCTCAAATGCTTGTTTTTCTTTGCTCAAGACTGTAAGATATCTCTGTTCTTCTGTCGAGCCTCCATATATAAGAAAATACACACTAACAGGAAAAAAAGAATTCAAGTTAAATATTTATTTATATTTATAGTACATATTTTTATATTATTGATTTATATAAATAAATCAGTTAAATTGTTAATATTTATAAATATAAATTTATAAATTCAAAAGTTTGGGGAAAGTTCAAAAGTTTGGGGAAAGTTTTTTTTTTTTTTGTAAGAAATGAATACTTTTATTCATTTATATTCCTCAATGCATTAAATTGATCAAAAGTGACAAGACATTTATGATGTTGCAGAATATTGATTTGCTCCATGCCAATATACACACCGGAGAGGTTTTCCTGGCCTGCAAGCTTTATAAATCTCCAGTTGCCGCACAAAACTGAGTTCAGCATCATACAAAACAACAAACATGGGGTCAACCTCATGCAACACCCGCGTCAAACTGTAGGGGTCGCTGCAACCCTTCAGTGGGTGAATGACGGTCAGAGGCTCTTTAAGAATTCCATAGTAGTCATCCGAAGAGAGATCGAGTAGAATCTCTTCTTCTTCCTCTTCCTCCTCCACCAGTTCTCCTTCATCTTCACTGTTCCCAATCAGGTCCTTTTCAGCTCTAGCCTCCTGCCCTCCCATCTGAGAGACTCTTGATGGTCTCTCGATCTTTGTTGGTCTCTTTGAGTTGGCTCTGGGTTTTTTCAGCCGCCCATTCTTCCCCTTGCTCTTAGCACAGTCCTTCTTGGGCCAGCCTTTGTCAAGCTTCAATAGATCAGGATGAGGATCTTCTTTCCCAATGGTGCGTGAGTAAAGGCGATTCAGTAGGTGTTCTGCTCCTTTTTGGATATATTCCTTCAGCTGAGCGCATGTTCGGTCATCACTGGCACATATCAACACACGGCCTGATGTACAGAGAACAAATTTGACTTAGGCCCTGCTTACACCTGGTATTAAGATGCAATTTGGTCGATCGGATCACAAGGAGATGAGGGGGACACATTCCTAATTACACCTGATGTCTCTTTTGTCCACTTTCAACCACTTCTGTCCTGATTTCTTTGAGGGGAGAGTCTATGTAAATGTATGTAGAAAAACATATGGAGAGCATCAGCTTTCGTTTCTGCCCTGAAAGCCGCAAGACCACACCGAACTCTGTGAGTGCGTGTTAGAAATCAGGAATGGTGAGAGAACATTGTGCTTGGTATGTTTTTTGTCCAAAGTTTAAATCCCGTCTGGATTGCACGCTTCCCATAATGTTTACGCATTAGGTCAGAAGGCGGAGAGCAGATGGCCTTTTGTTGCTGTTCGAACGCATTCGACCACGAGCGTCTACAATATGAAAGCAATCCGGTCGAAATCCTCTGGGAGTGGTTGAAAGTGGACAAGCTCAAAACGCTTCAGACCCCGTTTACACTGGATCCAAAATGCATTTTAATAGCAGGTGTAAACAAGGCCTTGATGCTTTGCATACGAATGCTAGTCATGAAACGTTAAATGATTATACCTGGTTCACGCTCAGAGCTGCTGTTTTCTTTCTCAATCTCCTGTAGCACCTCTGTTAGCGCTTCCCACTTTGGATTTCTCTCAAGGACAAGCTCTTTTTTTGGAGGGGCTAGTTTTATACACAAATAGAAAAGAAGATACAAGCATGCGTGTTTAAAAATGGAAATATGTAAACATCTTTTAAAAGAAACATACATCAAACATGTTGTACCTAGTGCACTTAGTTTCTGGTCAGTCTCTCCAACTTTCAGTTTCTTCTTTGACTCCTGAATGCGATACACACGGCTGTGAGCATTTACAAACATTGATGTGCTTGAGTCAAGGAATAACCAACCTGATTCAGAATAGAACAAAAAGAATCAGGTGACTTTACGGACTATGATTTGCTCCATGTCCGAAGAGTTCAAATAGAGCAACAAATCAGCTGACTGTACCTGAATTACTACCAAAGCTTTTCTGGCTGGTTCTCAAAGACTCCAGCAGATTGAGGAAGGTGACACAGTCATACTGAGTGAGGTAGAGAAGAAGAGTTCTTAAAATCTTCATGTCCTGAACGAGAGACTTGGTCCTGGACCCAAGCTGATGCCACAGTGGGTCAAGGTAATGACGAATTGTCTACATATGGAAAAACATGATTATTGTCATTTAGAATATTTATGTATAATCATTATTAATATCCAAAGTCATAATTTAAGATGTAAGATCTAAAAGGTATAGAGTCAAAAATGTAAAAATGAAACAAAAACAAAAAAATTGTGAATATGAGGATTTCTCACTTTCTCAAAGGAAGTGCCCAGGCTGTTCTCCAGAGAGAGGTCTTCTGCTTCCAGAGTGGGATTGTAGCGCTTCAGCTCTTTCAAGCAGGCATTCATGATGTCCAAAATAGAGCTCTGAATGGCTCTCATCGCTGGAGTCAAAGACACATGCAGCTCCACCACATCCGGCTTGTGTTTGTCTAGCGTTGTGTTTACTGATGCTTGGAATCTAGCAAATAAAATCATGTTGCAAATACATAAGATTTAGAAAACATTCACTTCCAAAAATCATACATACTCAGAGTACTATCTATGAAAAACAAAAAATAAAGCCACCATACCTTGGCCAAAGAAAAAGCTTCTTCACAAACAGGTTTCTCATGACTCGCTCGACTTTACAGAAGCCAGAAGAGAAGGATGTGGCCTTGTCCGTAAAGGCCTTGATGAACCCAGTCTTGTTTTTCTGCCGATAAAGTCTTAGAATGAAAGCCTCCTGACAAGACTCAATGATCTTATGTGCGCGATACACCAAGATTCCTGTGCAAATACACAATAATATTATCATTCAGTCCAGAAACACAACTTCTTTATAATTCAAATGTAATGGAAAAACAGCTTCATCTTCCCAACAACCTTCCTCTGACCTGTTATGAGGTGAGAAGGAATTCTGTCCGTAAGGAAGTCCACAACTAGGATGCGGCTGGTCACAAAGAGAACTCCTCCTTTAGTGTATACATTATATCTGTCAGCGCTCTGCACATCACTGGTCACAGTCTGGGGAAGATGGCTCACTCCTTCAGCACGGAGCTGCTCTGTAAAATACTCCTTCAACAGGCATGCACATTCATGCATTCATCATTATTATTGAATCACTTTGACCCTATATAGCCTACTGTATCATATTTACAGCCCGAGCACCGATGCTGTGAACATAGTAAAAGTTTTTTATATTAAAAAAATATATTTTGTCTAAAGGTTCTACAAACTGTCATTTCATATGTCAGAGTTAAGTAATGGGTAAAGTACAACAATGCAGTGCATATAATGAAAATGATTAGTGTATATTGTAGACGCTGTAACTTATCTAATCTTTAATTCAATACAAGCATTTTCTGTATGAAGAGATACTTAATTTGCTTATGGCTTCCTGTTTGAGTTTTTTTAAACTCCTAAAGTACTGTTATGTATGCAAGCCTATTATTTCCACATAAAAAAAATCATGATTTGATAAATCATAATTATGACATAAAAAGTCACAATTGTGAGATAAATAGTTGAAATTATGAGGGGGGACTCAAATTTATTGATACTAAGTCATAATTATGAATTAAAATTGTTACATAAAAAGGCAAAATTATGAGATAAAGTAAAGATTGACATAAAAAGTCAAATATGGGACAATTGGCCACCTTATGACATAAATTATGACATAAACCAAGTCAATATGAGATAAAAGTAGAATTTCTGAGATAAAACAAACATCATAATCTGACATAAAAGTTCTAATTATGACATAAGTCACAACTATGCCATTTTATGTCATACTTACGATTTACCAAGCATGGCTTGTTTTCTTATTTCTTATGTTTATTTTAAATATTCTCAATTCAATTTAACCCTATAAAGCCTACTGTATCATATTTAGGCCTGAGCAGATGCTGTGAATATATTATTCAAACTTTTTTTAAGATTAAAAAAAAAATTTCCAAAGATTCTACAAACTGTAATTTCATGTCAGGGTTAAGTAATGTGTAAGTAGCCTACAACAATGCAGTGCATATAATGAAAATGATTATAGCGTGTATATTGTAGACTTTTCTAACCCTTCATTCAATACAAACACTTTTATGACCTTTTAGCTTTTTTACAGGTCACTTCTGAAGATATAAAACTGCATGCATATTATAAAAGAATTAGCTAAATGTAAAATACGTATACATATCGCACTGCTAGCTGTCACTTCTTGATTTGCCATGTGAATAAACTCTATCCTCTCTTTCTGTAGATCAATAGAAGTATAACTAAATTAATCGATAAAGCGGCCTGTCGCACCTGTTCGGGAGTGGTTGTGTTTAATAAGAGCACTAGACTGCCCTCCTCTGAATACACCCTCATGAAGTGTAAGAGGATGCGGTCGATACCGAGTCCCTCAGCTGTGACCAGCAGCCCGTCTGTGCTGAACACACTCACAAACATCTCCGTCTCATACTCCAGCAGCGGACTCGACATCTTTTTAAAACAATGATCTAGAGTTCAAGTACGGAAATAACGTTACTGATTCTGTGTCTGGTATGCTGGATGACATGGATGCATGACGTTACTGCAGTTCATCATCTAACGTTAACGTTACTCCATTTTAAAAGGACGAGCCGAGGAATAAACCTATTATTTACTGCTTATATTCTGCCGGTAGTGCGCACAAAAAGAAATGCGCAAAACGTATTTTGGTTACATTATTTAATATTACTTTACATTACACAAGTTTGTCTCGTCCTCGATACGGTCAGAGAATGTTTCAAAATAAAGCGTATTGTGTCACGTGATGTCGCGCTGTTTAGAATGTGATTTTATAGTAGCGCCATCTGCTGCACTGGAGGTAAAAACACAAAAACCCAATAAGGATTTTTTTTAGCAGTAATTTCTTGCGTTTCGTGCACAGTTGTTCAAAAAGTTTAATCTGGATCATGTTCTGCTATCCAGGACCAGGTTATCCATCTTACTTTTGTGCCAATTTTTCAAAGCAAAATAGAAAGAGGAACACTCTTGTTAAGATATGGCCTACACTTTTTCAGATTACCAAATTTACCAGTGGGTTTCCATTTGCATTTTCGATTTCTTTTAAACAATCAGACCCTTACGGAGCCACTAAAAGGACATAGCAGAAAATGATATATTTTAATCTCAAAAGTTTTGCATTCCCACAATAAACGTTCATTTGCAAAGAACTCATATTTTGAGAGTGAATGCAAAGTTTCTTGGGGGAACGCAAAACATTTGCAAGAGAGCACAAAAGCAATTTTCCCTTGAACGCAAAAGCATTCAAATTAATTTTCCCTCCCATTTCATATTCTTCCTCCCACCACCATGTCCCTTCAGAGTTTCATATGACCCGCAACAAAAACAAACAAACAAAGGCTATTCAATAAGGGACGCAATTGCTAGAAACTACTTTCGACAGGATCATATCTGATGATTGTGCTAATGTAGTTTATATTGCCTATAGAATACATGATTATTAATTATTAAATTATCAATTAATGATTAAAAACCCTTAAAATTAAATATTTTTTTTGTTTGATATAACTGCCTGTTTGGGTATGGAGCCAAAATCTCTTTTTCAGTTTACTGTACTGAAAGGCTTAGCCTAATGTCTACTTCTACATTATTACTTTAACAGTTAAACTAATCAAAATAAAAAAAATACATATTTTAAAATATACATATTCTTATGTATGAATGAAAAAAATGTACATAATTATAAGGTAAAAGTAATAGATAAAATCATAATCTGACATAAAAGTTTACGTAAGACATAAGTCATAACTATGACATTTTTATTATAACTATGACTTTTTATTGCATACTTATGATTTACCAAGCATGATTTTTTTCCCTATTTATTATGTTTATTTTAAATATTCTCCATTCACCCCACCAACTCTCCGGATTATAGTAAGCATTTATTGTATGTCTCAGTACAGGTCAGACTCTATGTCTCATATGTCCCAATTTCCCAAAGCTGTAAAATATTCTATTCTATTCTATTCTATTCTATTCTATTCTATTCTATTCTATTCTATTATGTTCTGTTCTGTTCTGTTCTGTTCTATTCTATTCTATTCTATTCTATTATATCCTATTCTATTCTATTCTATTCTATTCTATTCTATTCTATTCCCTGCAAATATTTGAGAAGGCTGCAGAAATCATGATGAATCACTATGAGTGTGTGCATTGCTACTTAATGGCCTTGAGAGAGCAGTAGAGTGCTGCTGAAAGAGTGTTTATCACAGTTTAAGTGGGGCATGCTTAAAAAATAAATAGGAAAGGGATTTAAAGAGCTATTATGAAGAGTATAGCATGTACCAGGATGTTTTTATAATTATTTTTTTTTCATTCAGAGAAAATAAAGAGAAAATCCTTTTCACATTGCTATTAAGTCAACATAATTACTCAATAATATGCTGTAGCAAATACAGAAAATCTATGCAAACAGATGAATTAGTAAGAAACTCTCCATAGTTGGACTCCATGTATTTATCCATGCAAATGTAAAGGTGTTGACATTCAGCTTTCAATATTGATATATTGTCAAGATAGAAAGTGAAGTGAAAATAAACTGCATCTCTCAAGGTTACTCAAGTAATCTTGAGTGCATTCTTCTGTCAGCCTGACACTTTCATTATTTATTTTGCATATTTGCTGTTTGTTAAAGATGAATAGAAAGGGGGGAAACATGTACAGATTGTGTCTAAGGAAGCCCTCATCTCATCAAGTGCTCTGGTTTCTTGTTTGAAATGAAGTAACCTCAAATAACATGAAAGAGCACCACTGGTCTATTTTTTTGTATCTGGATGTTCTGAAGGGCAGAAAGCAAAAAATAAGAGTCCCGCTTTTCAAAGAGCTTGTTTTTATTTTTTGAGGTCACTGACTAAGCACTCGAGGAGAGGAAGCCCTAATATAATGCTGGAAGTGAAAGTAAGCCAGGATGAACCGTTTATTCCACCTGGTTCAAAGTTTAATATGAGCCATTCTCAAACATCACCATGTTAGAATGATATGAGGTGGAGAGGAGAGAGAGGAAGCAAACAAACAATCAGTAGCATTGCGGTGACTGACTGGCAGGAAAAGACGGCGGCTCAGAGAGCAGGTGGATTTTATCAGTCTTTTCAAAGGGTGACATGAGGTGCGCTGCTCTTAAACAGAGTAATGTCAATGACTCATTAAAAACAAGTCCAAATGTTCCACTCACTGTAAACAGGGTTCCTGCTCTGCCGCTTTAACCCTGTAAAGCCTGACGTATGAAATAACAGAACAATCTTTTGAAATGAAACAATGCATTGAATCTTTAGTAAAAGTCTGCTTATGTGATTTTTTTAAATAGTATCATATTTGATACACCAGGCGTTTATGGCTCATTATGATATAGGAGAATATGATTTTGTTTGTATCATATTTGATACTCACATTTTAATATGATTAAAAAAGATGTATGGATAAAGTAAACCTACAGCTGTTGCCAAAAGTATTGGCAGTGACATTTTGTCTTTCGCAAAGTTTGCTGCTTCAGTGTAGATTATTTTTTCACATGTTTCTATGGTATACTGGAAAACAATGATAAGCATTTCATAAGTTTTAAAGGCTTTTATTGGAAAAACATTCAATAAATGGAGTCTATATTTACAGTGTTGACCTTTTGTCTTCATAACCTCTGCAATTCGCTCTGGTATGCTGGATATCTGCTTCTGGGCCAAATCCATTCCTGACTGATGGCAATCCATTCTTGCCTTATTAGTCCTCGGAATCGATCACCATTTTTTGGGGTCTTTGCTTGTCCACTCGCCTTTTTAAGGACTGACTACAGGTTCTCTATGAGTTTAAAATCCGGGGTGTTGCCTGGCCACAGATCCAAAATTTTATAATGATCTCTAAGCCACTTCATTATCACTCTAGCCTCATCATGCTGGAAGATGCACGTATCATCACCAAAAGGCTTCTGGATCGTTGTGAGAAGTTGCTCTTGCAGGACGTTTTGATACCAGTCTTTATTCATGGCGGTGTTTTTGGGCAGAATTGTAAGAGAGCCTCCCTCGGATGAAAAGCAACCACACATGGATGGTCTCAGGATGCTTCACTGTTGGCACGACACAGGACTCATAGTAGCGTTCACCCTTCCTTCTCCGGACAATAAATTCTTTCATGTGTCACAAAAAAATCAGGCTTCATCAGAAAAAATAACTTTGCACCAGACCAGTCTTCTGCTGTCCAATCCTTATACATCCTGCAGAATTTCAGTCTGTCCCTGATGTTTTTCTTGGAGAGAAGTGGCTTTTTTGCTGCCCTTCTTGACATACAGTAAAAGCAAAAGCTCTTCTTCCCTCCATTTATAGCAACCATTCTGTTCTTGTAATCCAGTCAGAACGATAGAGCAATTTCTCCTGACCAGTACTTGTTCATAGTTTACTATATGCTGATGATATGATTAGTGAAATGATGTTAGCTGGTCATTTTGTACCAGGGTAAATTTGGGTTTTTGTGATAAAGTTGCCAATGAAGCTTTTTGCAATTATTTAAAATTGCACTCTGCACACTAATCTAGAAACAATTTGACATCTGTATATTGCTTCAATCCAGTAAATTTTCGTTTTAAAATACTTCAATATAAAAGTTGTTCCTACATTTACTTCATAAAAATCAGATTTCACAGCGAAAAGACACATGTTCCATGACCCAACAGAGGATGGATTCAGAATTATACTAAAAGGCTTTTGGCTTGCTAAAAAAGTATAAACTATCAGTCAGACAAAAGAAGGCATGCAGTAGATTATGGACTGCAGGTTTTTCAGCAAAGTTTTTATCATGTTGATAATTTAGAGACCTTGGATATTTGCGTATCAAAGGCTTATAGGGTTAAAGGGATAGTTCACCCAAAAAACAACATTTTTTCATCATTTACTCATGTCGTTTCAAACTTGTATGACTTTCTTTCTTCTGTGGAACATAAAAGAAGATTAAACCTACTGAAGAGGTTATTGTCCATACAAGATGTCAATGGGGTCCAAAATAACATTGAATCCCTATTGATATTTTCCACTGAAAAAAGAAGTCATACAGGTTTGGAATGATATGAGGGTGAGTAAATGATGACAGAATATATTTTTTTACAGTGAACTTTCTCTTTAAATGTTTGGAGAGTGGGGTTTGAGAGAGACTGAGAGTCAGTTGAAAGGATCTATCAACTTTGAGACAGAGTCTACCACAAACTGGATTAAAGTCACCAAGGTGCATGAATAACACTGCGGTATATTTGGTTTGCACATTACCAAATGAAGTTACAGTGAGAACAGTGCGATCCTGATGAAGTAAACTCCAAAACAACTGAGGGAAAATTCTCATGGGAATTTAAGCCTTCTAACAAAATACACTGGCTAGTTACATGATAAATGATCTATCAGTAATACAGAGTGTTTTGGGGAAAATCTCTCACATTCAAAATGCACTGCTGTGAGTCACTAATAGAGATAGTGCATTTC